ACGTACGTGACGGGACGGGACGGGACGTACGTGACGGGACGGGACGGGACGGGACGTACGTGACGGGACGGGACGGGACGGGACGTGAACACCTGCGACAGAACCCCCCAAATACCGAAGCCAGCACCCTGCAATTACGGAAGCCAGCAGCCCCCATGAATCTACCGTATCTGATGCCCTGCTTTTTTGCACACCAGCTCCTCTTCTCTGCAACAGCAGCACCCCACCATTGCTGGCAGCCAGCACCCCCCAAGTAATCCGTCCTGCTTCTGCATACCAGCTCCTTCTCTACTTGCATAGCAGCACCCACTGCTGAAGCCAACACTCCCCTGTTTATCTACCCTGCTGCGTTGTTCGACTGCCTCAGCAGCACCCAGCGCCTCTTTTTTTTGCAGCTGGCAGCTCAGCTCAGTGCAAGTGAGACGGGGTGAGACAGTGAGACCTTCCTGGCCTACCCAGCCTACCTCACGCTTTGCTTTGCTCTTCGGTCCTGGCGGGACGGGCTGGTTTCGTTTGTTTTGTTGGTTAAGGCTGCGTGCCTGCCTCCTCACTTTCCTTTCCTTCCTCCTTTCTTTCCTTCTTTCTTTCCTTCTTTCTTTTCTCTTATCTTTGCTTTTCGTTAGCAAGAGACTTAAATTTCTAAGCCACCTTCAGTGGTCTAATTAGTTATAGTTAACTCCCTGCTTAAAAAAAAAAAGATACTATTTACACAGCTGCGCCCCAAAAATTTAAGTCTCTTGCTCACATCCTCTAGCCTCTCCTTTCCTTCATTGCCAGGTGCCCTCACTCCTTCCACCAGGTGCAGGCCCCCTTCCTCCCCAGGCGCTCCCGTCCATCTAGCCTGCTTCCTTTCATCCGTCAGGCATGACCAAGCCTCGCCTTGTGCTCTCCTTCTTGAGCCAGTAGCGGATGCACTTGTTGACATCGCACCTCAAGCACCCGCTCCTATACCTGCAAGATCCGCAGATCTTGAAGTCAGCCTCCCTCACATGGGCAATGTTTCTCCTTGCCTCTTCAGGCAGGTCTTCCACCCTGAGAGGCCTGTTCTCGTTGACAAGCTCGTGGGCCTCTTTCTGCAGCTCTGTCAGGGCCTCCCCCTTCTCAAGCCTCTGCAGGGCCTGTGCTGCGAGCTTTTCCCTAGCCAGCTTTGCCTTCTCCCCGTCCTTCTCAAGCTTCTTCCAGTGCTTGTCCTCCTCGTCCAGCCTCTTCTTCTTCTCCTCTTGGAGCTGCTTGCTGAGTAAGGCCAGCTTCTCCTGCCAGTTCTGTCTCAGCCTCATCGGCCACGCTGCGCCTCCCAGACCATGGCCTAAGATCTGCTCCACGACCTCCTTCTCCATGTAGGCCAAGACAAACATGGCGCAACTCCATTCTCCTTCTGGCTGCCTCACAACACTATTCTCCCGCTCCAGGCTCATCTCCTCCCCAACCCACCACCTCAAAAAGCTCTCCGCCACCTCCTTGCACGCTTGATGGAGCTGTACAAGGGTATCGTAGTACCTCACCTCCTGCTTCTCACAGCTTCTCCTGTCCACCACAAGCAGGGTGTAGTGGGAGCCTTTGCAGATTGGGAGTAAGAAGAGTTTCCTCCCTTCAAGCTCTGCGTCCAGCCTTCGTAGCAACTCCTTCTCCTGGGGGTCCTGCTGGTGCAGGTAGTGCAGGTGCCACGCCTCCACTAGCAAGGGGCTGACCATGTGAACATCCGCCAACTCCACCAGCTCTGCGTCCCCTGCCAGCCACCTCAACAAGAGCCATCCCATTCCCAGAACCTGGTCCAAGAACCCTCCTGCTGGGATTGCCTTCTTGTCCACCACCTCAATGTCCTCCTGGGCGTGCATAAAAAGCCTCTCCTCAGACAGCATGCCCAGCTGCACCAGTATGGAGTGCTTGATTTGTCTGCTCAAAGACATTTGCCTCCACCTCCACATCCCCTTCCTCTCTTCTTCTGGCGCTAGCTTGATGAGGTGCTCCATCTTCACGTGGACCGCTCCCTTTGCAGTCTTCATTTTTACTTCCTCTCCCTGCACTTCGATCTTGCCCTGGCAGCCATACATAGCAACTCCTGCCTTCTCCTTGCACACCCTCCACGTGCCTGGTGGTGCGGGCGGTAGACTCGGCCCAAACGCTGGCTGTTCCTCCTCGTCCTCCGCTGGTGGCGGTGTGCTTGGGGGCGGCAGCGGTGGCAGCTCCTTCTGGCCTGGCTTGCTTGAAGGCTGGCCACTTTTCTTGGCCTTGGAGGCGACTGCCTTCTGAAGCGCCTTCTTCAAGACCTGCTTCTTCACTTTCTTGGCCAGCGACAGTGTCTTGCCCTTCTTCTTACTTTGGGCTGCCTTCTTGCCTGCCGCTGGAACAAGCCTTCTCATCATCTCATCCCTGCTTGTCTTCTGCAGCTTCGACTTGACTTCCTCCTTCTCTTCTGCTGTCAAGGCTGTCTTCTTCCTCACTTCTGATCTCTTCTTCCTCTTCTCCCGTCTCCTCTTGGCCAAATCCTTTTGCTCCGCAGACTCCTTCCTGCCTCTCAGCCAGGCCAGCCTCCTCAGCTCTGGGCTCAGCTGGAGGCTTGCTGCCTGAGCCCAGTCAGGGTCATCTAGGCAATCAAGCACAGGCTCCTCCTCCTCCTCCTCCCCCTGTTCATTTGAGCCTTCCAAGTATGACCACTCCGCCAAGTCGGCAACCTCTGTAGCACCTGCAGCCTTTTCCCACCTCGGCACTTCTATGACTCCATCCTCCCTCAGCCAGGACGCTCTGCTTCAGCCATCCGTGAGGGATCCTGCTCGAGCCAAGCGGCATCCCTTCTGCCCACTCTTCCTCCACCCACTCCATTCTGCTTGTTTCCAGGTTTGGCCTCACCGCCAGCCATCCATTCCTTCTCAAACCTTTCAGCACCCACCACCTCTCCTCATTCTGCTTCATCATCTTCCATGCAGTGGTGCAAAGCCAGACAAATGTCCTCCACCTGAGCTTTATAGATGTCTCCACTTCCCCCACGCCTCAGCTTCTCCTGCCCCTTCCAGACAAGGTCGCCCATCTCCTTCCTCATCAATGCCTTGAAGGCTGCACTGAAATCAGTGTCCGTCAGTTGCAGCTGGGCGGTCATCTTGGCTGCGATGATGGACTGAACCTGGTGGCCTAGCCTCAGCTGCCTCACAACGTCCGGTGAGAATGCAGCCGCCAAGCTGTCTCGTTGCCACAACGTGAGCGGGAAGCTCGTGGCCTGCTCCCTTACTGACCAGGCCATGATCACAGCGTCCACATTGCTGGACGGCTGTGACATCACCTCAAAGTGGGTGAACAGCTCTGGCCTTCGAGCCCTCACCTCCCTCCAAGACTCAAGGGCTCGCCCTGCCTTCTGGCCCTTGACGTGTGTCCTCACCTGGCCTCGATACTCAAACGACTCTGTCTCCTTCCACTCTCCTTTTTCTGAGATGTTGTCCATGCTGGCCTGGAACGATGAGTAGACCCTTCCACACCTTCCCTTCAGGCTCTGCCCCTGGCTTGAACCAGTTCAAAACCAGCTGCCTGGCCTCAAATGTAATCCTCATCTTGTCTGCCTGAGCGTCGGCCTTCCTTGTAGGGTGCCTCA